ATCATTTTATCCCTTCTAACTATGCCACCTCTTTGGCAGAGCTATCCAATTAATCCCACTCCCTTGCTCATTCCCCATAATAGAACAGAACTCAGATACTTGAACTTGGGAGGCCAGACTCCGAAAGTTCATGGTCACAAGTTGACTTAGTGCTGGAGATTTCTTTCGTCAGTCTGGAATTTTCCTTGTACCTTCTAGGGCTAAATTCCTCCTCTCTGAAATACTCTTAAATTAAGCTGTTTTAAATAAATGAGTTAGCAATGTCATTGAAACAGCACAAACAGGAACTGAACATAAACAAGTTACCCAATACCCTACACAAATGCCAGTGAACCTGACATAAATAGGAGTGAGATAACAAGATGTAGAGCTGGATGAACACAGCAGGCCAAGCAGCATCAGAGGAGCAGGAAGGCTGACGTTTCGGGCCTAGACCTTTCTTCAGAAATGGGGGAGGAGAAGGGGGATCTGAAATAAATAGGGAGAGAGGGGGAGGTGGATAGAAGATGGATAGAGGAGAAGATAGATGGAGAGGAGACAGACCGGTCAATGAGGCGGGATGGAGCCAGTAAAGGTGAGTGTAGGTGGAGAGGTAGGGAGGAGATAGGTCAGTCCAGGGAGGACGGACAGGTCAAGGGGGCGGGATGAGGTTAGTAGGTAGGAAATGGGGGTGGGGCTTGGGGTGGGAGGAGGGGATAGGTGGGAGGAAGGACAGGTTAGGGAGGCGGGGACGAGCTGGACTGGTTTTGGGATGCGGTAGGGGGAGGGGAGATGTTGAAGCTTGTGAAGTCCACATTGATACCATTGGGCTGCAGGGTTCCCAAGCGGAATATGAGTTGCTGTTCCTGCAACCTTCGGGTAGCATCATTGTGGCACTGCAGGAGGCCCAGGATGGACATGTCGTCTGAGGAATGTGAGGGGGAGTTGAAATGGTTTGCGACTGGGAGGTGCAGTTGTTTAGTTTGAACCGAGCGTAGGTGTTCTGCAAAGCGGTCCCCAAGCCTCTGCTTGGTTTCCCCGATGTAGAGGAGGCCACAACGGGAACCACATTATACCACATTAGCAGATGTGCAGGTGAACATCTGTTTGATGTGGGAAGTCTTCTTGGGGCCTGGGATGGGGATGAGGGAAGAGGTGTAGGGGCAGGTGTAGCACTTCCTGCTGTTGCAGGGAAAAGTGCTGGGTGAGGTGGGGCTGGAGGGGAGTGTGTAGCGGACAAGGGAGTCACGGAGAGAGTGGTCCCTCCGGAAAGCAGATAAGGGTGGGGAGGGAAAAATGTCTTTGGTGGTAGGGTCGGATTGCAGATGGTGGAAGTGTCGGAGGATGATGCGATGGATCCGGAAGTTGTTCGGGTGGTACGTGAGGATGAGGGGGATTCTGTTTTGGTTGTTATTGCGGGGAGGTGGTGTGAGGGATGAGTTGCGGGAAATGTGGGAGACACGGTCGAGGGTGCTCTCAACCACTGAGGGGGGGAAGTTGCGGTCCTTGAAAAACGAGGACATCTGAGATGTACGGGAGTGGAATGCCTCATCCTGGGAGCAGATGCGGCGGAGGTGAAGGAATTGGGAATAGGGGATGGCATTTTTGCAGGAAGGTGGGTGGGAGGAGGTGTATTCTAGGTAGCTGTGGGAGTCGGTGGGCTTGAAATGGATATCGGTTTCTAGGTGGTTGCCGGAGTTGGAGACAGAGAGGTCGAGGAAGGTGAGAGAGGTGTTAGAGATGGTCCAGGTGAACTTAAGGTTGGGGTGGAAGGTGTTGGTGAAGTGGATGAACTGTTCGAGCTCCTCGTGGGAGCACGAGGCGGCGGCGATACAGTCATCAATGTAACGGAGGAAGAGGTGGGGTTTAGGGCCGGTGTAGGTACGGAAGAGGGATTGTTCCATGTAACCTACAAAGAGGCAGGCGTAGCTTGGGCCCATGCGGGTACCCATGGCCACCCCTTTGTCCGTAGGAAGTGGGAGGAATTGAAAGAGAAGTTGTTGAGGGTGAGGACGAGTTCGGCTAAGCGGATGAGGGTGTCAGTGGAGGGGGACTGGTCGGGCCTGCGTGACAGGAAGAAGCAGAGGGCCTTTAAGCCATCTGTACAGGGAATGCAGGTGTATAGGGACTGGACGTCCATGGTATAGATGAGGTGTTGGGGACCGGGGAATTCAAAGTTCTGGAGGAGGTGGAGGGCGTGGGTGGTGTCACGGACATAGGTAGGGAGTTCCTGGACCAAGGGGGAGAAAATGGAGTCCAGATAGTTGGAGATAAATTCGGTGGGGCAGGAGCAGGTGGAGACAATGGGTCGACCAGGGCAGTCAGGGTTATCTCCCACGAGGAGTTCGAACAGTTCATCCACTTCACCAACACCTTCCACCCCAACCTTAAGTTTACCTGGACCATCTCTAATACCTCTTTCTCCTTCCTGGACTTTTCTGTCTCCATCTCCGGCAACCACCGAGAAACCGATATCCATTTCAAGCCCACCGACTCCCACAGCTACCTAGAATACACCTCCTCCCACCCACCTTCCTGCAAAAATGCCATCCCCTATTCCCAATTCCTTCACCTCCGCCGCATCTGCTCCCAGGATGAGGCATTCCACTCCCATACATCTCAGATGTCCTCGTTTTTCAAGGACTGCAACTTCCCCCCCTCAGTGGTCGAGAATGTCCTCGACCATGTCTCCCACATTTCCCACAACTCATCCCTCACACTCCCTGTCCGCAATAACAACCAAAACAGTATCCCCCTCGTCCTCACGTACCACCCCACCAAACTGCAGATCCAACGCATCATCCTCCGACACTTCCGCCATCTGCAATCCGACCCCACCACCAAAGACATTTTTCCCTCCCCACCCTTATCTGCTTTCCGGAGGGACCACACTCTCCGTGACTCCCTTGTCTGCTCCACATTCCCCTCCAGCCCCACCTCACCCGGCACTTTTCCCTGCAACAGCAGGAAGTGCTACACCTGCCCCCACACCTCCCCCCTCACCCCCATCCCAGGCCCCAA